AGCTTATATGCCCTGTTGTTAGCATACATATTTAGTTTTCCTACAATATTTCAATCAAATTTAGTTTTTTTTTTTTTATAATTTCTCAGAGAACGTGACGTGAAGCTTAAAAAAACAGATGATAACCACAGCACCTTCTGGATTCATTCCCATAGCGTTTGTCTACATTTAGCCATAATTAGCTAAAATTATTAAACATTGCCTTAAATTTGAGCTCTCCTTCCTTCTGTCACCTCACTAACCTGACACAAATATTTGTGACTTTATTGAAATTAAAGCCTGGAAATGAAAGTGTTTAATTCTGTAAATACTAAACTAAAATAAATAAATAAATAAATAAATAAATAAATAAATAGATAAATCTGTACACTCAAAAGCTGAATCAGACTTAATTTACACCTGAATATTTGAGCTTGTTTTGACATATTGCTGTTATCACACACAGTGCCTCATAAAAGTTTGTGCTGTTATTTTCCTCCAGTGATCTTAGGAAGCTAACATTTGTCTCCCAGGCCTTTTTTATCATTTTATTTATTTATTTATTTTTACAGCGCACTGTAAATCACTTGAAACATGAATTTTCTCACACCGAGACATCCGTCACACTTCTACAGATGACATTAACCTGCAGTTAAACCTAAAATTGAAAATATGAGTTATGTACAAAAAGGTTTGTCGTTAAATTACAACAGCATATAGTTGCGGATAAATTTGTAAACATGACACAGGTGTGCAAACGAAGAGAAACGTGTGTTTGAGCGTTTTACTGGACAGAGGATTCAGTCGGAGCACCTGCAGCCGAGGCTTTCAGTCGGGGTACAGGATAAAACCAGAGAAGGTGCTGTACTTGTTGTTGTTGCCTCCGTGAGCTTTGCCTCCGTCCAGCTTCACGTAGATCTCGTCTCCGGAGTCCAGGTGCAGCACGGCGCTGTTGCTGGCGTAGTCGTAGTTCTGGTCTGCGTCCTGAGCTATGGCACTCGCCCGAACCTACAAAACAAAACAAATAAGAACATAGAATAAGAAAAAAAAATAAAAACCTGGAGTAGAAAAGTTCACATATACCTGAGAGGCATCGGCAGTGGGGCGTAAAATCACTGGGCTCTAATTTTAAACCTCCAAGCAGAGATTCAAAAAGGAAATGAAGTTAATGAGACGACAGGACTGAATCAAACGCGGTCCGGATACTTCTGTGTGTTTGACCTGAACCTCCTGTTGCAGCACATAATGACTCATTCGAACGTCTGACCTCAGAGCAGCTGCAGCTCTGACAGGAAACTATCATCCAGTAAAGATTTACGCATGAGCTGAGATGACAAACAGAGATAATGATAAATATTTGTGATGCTTTAAATTAGTTTAGAAGCTCTGTCTGCTGACAGTTCAGTTATATAACTAAGGTTAGACTTTATGTCCATTTGTGGCGTCAAAGGTCCATATTTATAAAAATATATGTCTTTATAGGATTTTATTAGTATTAATGTTAAGTTTTAGTCAATCAAACAAAACCAGATCAATTTGTCGACTCTTTTTTTTTATATTAGATCAATGTTTTCTCAAAGTTTATTTACTCCAAATTGTGTCCTTTAATATATTTACATAGAAATAATTGAAGCTAGGGCAGCACGGTGGCTCAGTTGGTAGAGCTGATGCCTCTCAGCAAGAAAGTCACCGGTTCAAATCCCGG